TTTGGGGAATATAATACCACCACAATCTTGGATAGAAATTTTGTCAGAAATGTAATCTTTACCTAAAAGAAGTAGCTGCCTCCTTATCCAGCACATTCAAAAATCATGTTTCTAACAGTCAGAGCCTCTCTACAGAAAGACCTGTCTTAGGGTTTCTGCTGCCATGATAAAACACCACAACCAAAAGTAACTGAGGAGGAAAGGGTTTATTTCTCTTACACTATCACATCACAGTCCATCAGTGAAGGAAGTCAGAGTAGGAACTCGAGGCAGGGACTAAAACAGAAGCTATGGAGTGATGCTGCTTACTGGCTTGCTCTCCATGGCTGGCTCAGCCTGCTTTCTTATATAACTCTGGACCACCTTCCCAGAAGTGACACCATCCACAGTGGGCAGGACCCACCCCATTGATCATCAATGAAGAAAATGCTCCACAGACATTCCTACGGGTTTCTCTTCTCAGATGATCCCAGCTTGAGTAGAATTGACAAAAAAAAAAAAAAAAAAAAAAACATCCAGGTCAGAACCTAAGACTGTAGTTGAAGATCCCGTTGCTTTCAACAACACTCTCTACGAGACACTGAGGAAGCCCTGAGTGAATGTGTATTGCCTGACCTGGGCGCAGCCATGGCAAAGATTAAGGCCTCAGACCCACGGGAAATCGGCAAAGCCTTTCTGTGGACTGAGTGTGAACGTTGGTAGTGTGTGCAAGTACAAATGATTGACGGATGTGTGCAAAAACTGGCAACAACAGCTTTTTCCTTCTGTGTAGAGCCTGAGACTGCTCCCCTGCAGAAACCTCCTACCCAGAGGAGCGAGCCCCCCAACCCCCTTGTGTAGATAAAGCGGCTGAGCTTCCTGGTGTCTGTGGTGTGATGCTCCATCAGAGTGCACAGAGCCCACCTGACCCGGGTTGTCTGCAGTGTGTCTGTCTTTCCTTTATTTCTCTGCCGCCCCAGTCAGGTGTCTAGACCCAAACTGTGTGGATCATGACACTCTCTGGGTCTGCTGTCTATGACGTGGGGACAGTCACACCTATGCTGCGACCCTAGCACCGTTCCTCTGGGGACCGAGCGTGTGTGTGATGAAGGAAAGAACTGGACCCAGAGACACAGACACCCTGGGCATCACTCTGCGGCTGCATTGCCCTTCCAGGCCAATTCGGCAATGAATTGTTTGTTGAGACAGGGCCTAACATAGCCCAGGCTGGCCTCGAACTCACTATATGGCTGAAGATGCCCTTGAAGGTCTGACCCTCCTGCCTCTACCTCCCCAGTGCTGGGGTGACAGGTATGTGCCACCACAACCAGTTTTCTGTGGTGCTAGGGACCGAGCCCAAGGCTTTGTGCACATGAGACAAGCATCTACTAAGCTCGATTTCCAGCCCAGAAACTCATTTTTAATTTAAAATTTTGTTAGTATACCTCCCATGTTTCCTTTAAACTACTTGTAATCATTTGAGGAAGCAACTAAAATTTTCCTATATTGATAATGCAGAAATAGATAAAGAACCCAAAAGCAAAATTGTATGTATACGGTATTAAGAGGAGAGAGAGAGAGAGAGAGAGAGAGAGAGAGAGAGAGAGAGAGAGAGAGAGAGAATAAATATATACCTCTGGACTAAACTCAGAGGACTACTTGTTAAAGCAGGTGAGACTTTTGCAGCATCAGCTTTAAAGGTTATTTAAAAACAGAAACATCCCTGGAGCAGAAGACTGTCAATCATTCCTCACAGTAACTCACATGGAGGCAGTCATCCATTTCTTAGAAATTTAGACATTCCTCTAGTAATTTAGCACACACACACACACACACACACACACACACACACACACACACACACTCACACAACGGGCCTGCTCAATCTGCTGTTCACATTTTGGTAATTTAAAAGGACATAACAGATTTTTATTTTAATGAGAATTGCAAACTCATGCAGAAAATGTAAATGCACATTTCATGATTAGCTTGCAGCATAAACTATGGCTTCTATTAATGTATTCCAATTTGTAATTCTTTTCACAGTATGAGATTTGAAAGCTGTGATTAAAATTAATTAGGTTAAGTAAAGTTTATCCCCCCTGAGCACTGCTATTGGGAAAAAGCAATAAGAAAATGCAGACTACATCTGGCTCTGCAGGAAGCTGTGTCTTCGCAAGAAGTTGCTAACCCTTTTCTCCCACAGAGGCTACACGCTGCTTATTTGGCATATCTCAAGCACCATGTCTCTCCTCAAGGAGCTAATTGAAGCATTAAACTATTCTTTGCTGCCTCACAAAACCACAGAAGCTGTGACTAGACCATCTTCAAACAGGGATATTGGTGGATCCATCAAGTATTTAAACACCACACACCTGGGGCAGGGCACAGCCTTCTGGTAAACCTCTGCTGATGGGAGTCCCGTGTCTCAGATAAGGATGCTGATGGTAAGCAGGACACCCAGGATCAAAGACCCCGGTGGTGGTGGTTACATCCAGATCCCCGAGCCGCTTCCCTAAGCGATACTCAGCTCCACAGCTAACTGAAACAAGACGAAAATTTTCACCCCTGTTGCATGTTAGTTTGAAGGCCACTACCAATTATAATATGGTGGGAACTGTCCTGGTTAGGTTTCTGTTGCTGTGATAAAATGCCATGACCAAAGAAACTTGAGAAGAAAAAGGGTTTATTTCAGCATATAGGTCACAGCCCTCCACTGAAGAAAATCAGGGCAGAACTAAAGAACCAAAGCAGAGACCATGGAGGAGCATGACTAACTGGCTTACTCCCCAGGGCTTGCTCCACCTGCTCCAGGCCACCAGCCCAGGGATGGCCCCACCCACAGTGACCTGGGCCCTCCCACATCCATCATCAGTCAAGAAAGTGCCCCACAGCCCTGCCTACGGGCCAATCTGATGTGGTGGTTTCTCTGTTGAGGTTCCCTCTTTCCAGATGACTTCAGCTTCTGTCAGGTTGACAAAAAGGAAAAGAAAAATCCCTAACTAACACAGCAACTAAGGCAAGTCTGACATCTCCAGAAGGGTGTCAAGCATTCCAGTAATGGAGCGTAAAGAGACAGACATCTCACGGAAGGTTTTCTGGTAGACATGAGGACGGTCCACTTCTTGATTCTCAGCAACTTGTGTGAATGCTGCTCCTCTCATTTCCTCTGGTGAAGCAGCGTTTCAGCTCTGACTGGTCCCGACTCTGGGAACATGGACATGAGAGTGAATCACACAGCCCTCCTGGGCTTGCCTGGATAATGGTGGGCCCTCTCCTCTGTAACTCCTTCTCCTGGCTCTCCACACTGTGTGACCTGGTTCCCTGGGTCCCAGCTAATAATATGAGACTGTTCACTAGCATGCCACTGAGAAGCCTGTGCCTGGGCATGGAAATGGTGTGTCTTCCAGTGCAGTGTAGGGGACCTAGGCCTCCAGCTCAGAAGGCATGGCTTCGTTTGCGGTTCTGGCTCAGGTACTAGGTGACTCGGCTTTTAGAATTCCTTAGTGCTTGAGTTCCTGCCCTGATTTCTCCCAGTGATGGACTATTTTCTGGAAGTAGAAGATGAAAGAAACGTTCCTCCCCAAGTTACTTTTGGTCATTAGAAAGCAAGCTAATATATCTACAAACTATGATGATTCTCATATACGGCCTTATGAAAGATGCTGGGCTTTGGGAGACTAAATTCAATCTGAATCCTCACTTTGTGCGTGGCCTGTGTGCGGGTGCCTTTTGAGGCCAGAGATCGACCTCAGGCACCATTCCTCAGAGACTGTCGACTTTATGTGAGACTGTCTTTATTTGTGTGAGAGTGTGTGTGTGAGGAGATGTGTTCTTGAAGAAACCTGGAATCCACCAGCTCATTTAGGCTGGCTGGCCAGCAAGCCCTGAGGATGCTCCCATGTCTGCCTCCCTAGCTCAGGGACTACAATGAGAAACTGCTACCCTCGGCTTTTTAAAAGCAATTGTGTGTGTGTGGGGGGGGGGGGCGTGTCAGAGGACAACTTTATGAGTTTGTTTTCTCCTTCCAGGGGTCAAGTTCAGGTCATCAGGCTTGCAGGACAGTACTTTATCCAGTCAGCCGTTTACCCGTCTGGCCTCAGCCTTAGATTTGTTTTTAAAACACAGTAAATATAATACTTAGCAAATTTTAAGTTACCCTAAAAGGTTACAGATATTAACGTGGGGAAGGATTTTTGAACCCGTCACTTTGGTGCAGCTCCCAAATTCTGTGTTCCTGAAGCGCGGGCCTTCACTGAGCCTAACTCTGGTGTGCTGTGATCGTGGCCATGTCAAGGAGAAGGCTGCCTGTGGAAAAGCACTGTTTTGTAGTCTTAGGGCCAGTGACTCAAGGGAACAAGCCCGCAACCCAAATCCAGAGTCTCCACAAATTCGGAATATTTCCCTGGAGTTCTGAACTCAGATGAAGGATTTTTAAAGTTAAAAGGGAAGCAAGGAACGCTCATTTAGAAGTTAGAGGACACAGGACTGAGGACACAGGAGGCTGCATGTGGATAGCGAGTGGCTTTACCTTCAGACCTCCAACCTGGTCTCCTTCACGAGAGGCCAGCACAGCCCTCCTGAGCTATCTCGCCTTCATTTCTGAGGATCATGAACTTAAGGCTTGCTCTGACAGAAAACAGGCTTTTACCACTTCCCCTAAGACACGCAGCCAGCTAGGGACCAACTGAGCTGCCAGATGCATAGGCTGCTCTCTTCTCAACTCTCAGAGACTTGTCAGTGATTTGGAGACATTGCGAAACAAAAACAGAGAACAATCATTCCAAGCTTCTGATAACATGTTTATTATAAATTCTTCAAGAGAAAGGTGGTTCCTATTGAACCATCCTCGCACAGCGTGGCCAGGGACGCTACCGGCTCCAGCCTTGCCTTCTCTATCCTCTAGATGGCAGTACAAGCATAGACTTCCAAAGGGCTTTTATTGACAGGGTGGTGACAGTCCGCTTTGCTAACGAGGCTGGCTTTGTGTTTTGTTTCTTTTTTGTCTTCTATAACTTCAGATGGCTGGTGTCCGATTCGATGGTTTTGGCCACTTGGAGCTTCCTCTGCACCTCCTGGCTCTCCAGAGTCGTCACAATTTTGCTGGGGGCAAAACACAGTGAGCTCTCTGGGAAATTGAATATAGTGACTTGAGAGAAACACTCCACTCCTCGCCTTCTGGACAAGGAGGCTCCATCTACAAGCTCCATCCAGATCAACAGCATCCCAGTCACTTACTCGTTGTGACCAGCTGTTCAAAGGAAATTCGAGATTCAGAAGCTTTTGAAATGTATGTGTTTGTATGTCAGATGGGCACGGGTGACTGTGGCTTGAGAGAGAGAGAGAGAGAGAGAGAGAGAGAGAGAGAGAGAGAGAGAGAGAGAGATTGTTAGCTCCCCTAAAACTGGAGTTTCAGGAGGTTTTGAGCAGCAGGGCATGGGTACTGGGAACCAAATTAGAACCTTCTGGAAGACTAAGATTCTCTCACATTCCCCCTCACCTATGAGACATGTCTCTCTAGGAGCAAAAATTTCCCCCAACTGGATTCTAGTTCTCATTCTAGAGAAGAGCATCTAAGAGGGCAATCGAGCCCTCTGGGAAGGGATACCCTGATCAAAGTTACAGTAGTATTGGTTAGTGCATACTAGATAACAGTAAGGGTGGCACTGAACTCCTGGTGGAGATCACCTCATTAACTCAATGGCTACAAAAGGTTGTTTCAAGCCCTAGAATCTGAAACCAGCCTGATGGGAAACTGCTGGGTGTCTCAGTGTATATATATTTAAAACACCTTGTAATGGAGTCCTGCCCATTGGGCCTCTCTGTAGGTTCTAGCTCAGAATGCTTTGGTGAAGTTCAAATGCAGGCAAGCCTAGCCACGGCCATCAGAATGGAGCCTTCTAGAAGTTCCAGTGCTCTGGCTCAGAGGTTTGGCCAAATAGGCTCATCCTGAAGACCAGAGGATTCAGCAATGAATGGTTATGATCCCAACCAAAGGCATCTGTGTGTATAGGGTGTGTGTGTGTGTGTGTGTGTGTGTGTGTGTGTGTGTGTGTGTGTGTGTGTGTGTGTGTATGCTCCAAATGAGGAAAGGGGATGAGAACGTCTGGTCTTTGCACTCAGTTCTGCTGACTCTGGTTCTCATCAGGGAGTGGTCCTCCTTCTCTTGGTGCCTCTGGATTGAGCCCTGCGCTTGGTTAGGTCTTAGAGTCTTTTAGGAGCTCAGCTAGCACAAGCCTGCATGTGTTAATTCCACTCCTGGGAACATACCCCAAAACTGCAAATCTTCCTCTAGGTTTGGTTCCCAAGTGCTTGTTCACAACTTGCTTTCACCCATCTGTATCACAATGTGCGAAAGAACAAAGGTGGAGTTTAGAACACCCTTTCCTCTGAAATTCTGTCTTTCCTGAGGAACGCTTCTCTAGGGTGCTTACAAGCTTAGTTGTGTCTAATGGTGTTCCCTGGAAAAGCACAAGCTTGGCAAGTGTAGGGTGATCTTTTCTTCCCTTCCTTTGCAATCCCTTCCCAACTTCTGATCCTCCTGCCTCTTCCTCCTTAGTGCTGGGACTACAGCTATGACCTGGTTTAGATGGTCCAGGGCTCAGAGCATGCCAGGCAAGTACTGCACCAACCTAGCTATATTCCTAGTCCTCTTCTTCTCTTCTCCTTCTCTTCTCCTTCTCTTCTCCTTCTCTTCTCCTTCTCTTCTCCTTCTCTTCTCCTTCTCTTCTCCTTCTCTTCTCCTTCTCT